ATCTCTCTCCCTCCCCTCTCTCCCCCACTCTCTCTCTCCCTTCTCTGTCTCTCCCCCCCCTCACCTCCCTCCCCACTCTCTCTTGCCCCTCTCTGTCTCTCCCCCCTCTCTCAGAACCATGGAATGGTGGGCTTTTTCCGTGGTGCGGTGCCGCGGTCTTTACGCCGGACGCTGATGGCCGCCCTGGCCTGGACCGTGTATGAGCAAATGATGACCAAACTGGGGCTGAAGTCTTGACAAGGAGAGAAAGAGAGAGAGAGATCAACCGGAGGGTGAGGAGGAGGACATTTTGGGGGGTTGATAAACCGAGGAAACAAAGACTGGTGTCAACAGCCCGGCTGCCCTTGGACGGAGGCAAAGTTTAAGGTCCCTGTTTGCTCGAATGTTTTGACGTGGTGACGTGTGGACAAGCTGATTTTAGAGATACCACACGGCATGTGTGTGGCTTGAGTTAATGAACAGAGAGTTCGGGCTGTGAGCCAGAGCCTGAGCTGGTACAAGACGAACAGACTCTGTCCTATCTGCGGCCCAGGCAATACTCACTGCCAGGGCTGTCAAGGCTGTGTTAATCACTCCCGTCTTCTATTATAAGAGGCTGTGACAAAACGGATAACTTTCAGACTTCCACGACCCCCTTAATATTAGCTACAACCCAATCCCACTCCCCTCGCCCCCCCCCCACCAAACCACCACCCAATCCTTTTCTTGAGATTTATTGTTATTCAATAATTTATGTATCTCGGAGTCCTGTAGCCTAGTGTTTACAGTGCTCGCCTCACAAGCGAGAGGACCTGGGTTCGATTCCCCGGTGGGATGAAACTTTAGGCAAGTTTCCTTACCCCACACACAAGCCTCTGTTTACCAGGGAGTAAGTAGGAACCCAATTGTTAGTAGATTGTCGGATCACTTTCCGGGTATAATAATCCACTTTCTGTGAAGCGTTTTGAGACTTCTCAATGATGCGATAAAGCGCAATATATTCTGATCTCCTGGGGGAAGGGCAGGGTGGATATAAGGATATGGCTGACTTGACATTTATTGTAATAATAATCCTGCATTTGGTAAGTGCCTTATCATCGTTGAGACATCTCAAAGCGCTTCACAGAATATATATAAAGTGAATTGACTGTATATTTTGTGGGGAAACACTGCAGCCAATTGCCACAGCAGCGTCCCACAAACAGTCGTGGATTGAGTGACCAAATTATTTTTTTTAATTATTTGAGGGTTATTAACCTGGAAAAGCGATTCGTTAATCAACTAACAATTGGGCTCCTACTTCCTGCTGGTAAACAGAGGCGTGTGGTAATGAAACTTGTGCAATGTTTCGCCCCCTGCCCGGGAATGAACCCAGGTCCTCTCGCTTGTGAGGGGAGTGCTCTAACCACTGAGTTACAGGACTACTTCAGTTTCCTGTGATCCAGATTGAGGGGTGGTCGCTGCTGTTCTTACTCCATGGCCTGAGGTAACAGGCCAGGGCAGTGAACCCGCACAGATCTGCAGCCTCTGCTAAAGCTCCCAGGTGTGCTGCCTGGTTTTATAGAGGGCAGGTAGGGCCTTGGCTGGCAGACTTAAGGCAAAAATAGGACTTAACTGATACAGTGAGTGGTGAGACAGCGAATTTAGTCTGGAATGATTTTCCTGCTATGAGGAAAAGAACAGTCCCTGTGTCTACCTCCTCATTGATCGCAATCCCTCTCCATAAGCAGATCGGGTCTCTACCCTCTCACCCCACCCAGCCGCCCACCGACACTGATACTTTGAGGAAAGATGCAGAAATTCACTCCATTGCTCCCTCGCTCGCTGTAGCTGATAGCTTCTGATCAGGAATCTAATCCTGAGCCTGTGTCACTCTCTCATAAACTGTGTTTTGCACAACCCATTCCCTGCTTGGCTGCAGCAGATTAGTGTGAGAATCTAACCCAGGTCATTAACCCAGAAAATCAGAATAAAAAAGGAATCCGTTTACAAATGTTTGATGAAAAGCTAAAACGTGCAATAAAAGGTTTCCAGCATCAACTCAACGGGGCAAGTTTCTGTTTCAGTTTCCGTAGTCCGAGCTGCAAGTTACACTAATGTTTATTTAATACGATTGATGCCGTGTGCCGAGGTAAGCGGGAACTCTGAGCTGAGCGGGCAACGAGGTGATGTGCTTGGCAACGGGATGTCAAAATTGAGGCTACTTTCTGCTGGTCTCAACTCCAGTTCCTGAAAAATCCATGTGTTTCGGAATGGAAGCCACACTCTCTCCCTGGAGGACGCAGTCTATTTATCCTAATTCCAGAGAATATGAAATTTTATTTTTGAAGGGATTCTTTCCTTGGGAAAGCGATCCGCCAATCGACTAACAACTGGGAACTTACTTAGTTTTGAGGTGTCTACACTATATTGAATACAAAACGTGTAACATGAAAGTGAGAAGAGTTTGGTGCAATAAAATACCAACGCAGACACTGTACTGCTGCTGCAACTCTATATAACTAACGGGCAGAGGCTGCCAGGACGGTGGCTGTGTGTGAGCTCAGTCTGGAATCTAATGGCTTTCGGCTGACAGAACAGCGTGATCTGGACATGGTCCAAGGACATAGTTTTAAACTCTCCTCTCTATACAGCGAAGCAGCTCAAAATCTGCTGAATCATAGGTGGTGAAAGTGCAGTGAAGGTCAGACAGGGAGACTGTGAAGGGGGGAGTCTATCACTGAGAGACACAAATATCTCAACTCCTTTCTGGTACTCACTACTTTTGAAAAAGAAAACGGGAGTGTGTTAGCCTTTCACACTCACCTCTGGTCAAGCACTCTGGGACGCTACCCTGCACCAGAGCTTCTATATAAATGCAAGTTGTTGTTTGAGCTCACAGTCTCAGCTGATGTTACAATGCAGTGTTGGGGGGAGTTCTGTATTGTCGGATGTGCTGTCCTTTGGATGAGATAGTAAAACAAGCTCCCAAGTCAAAGTATATTCTGTGAAGCGCTTTCAGACATCTCGAAGACGTGATAAAGGCACTATATCAAATGCAAGGATTATTACACGTGCTACAGATCAGTCACAGCACAGGTTAGAGACACAGTAAAGCTGCCTCTACACTGTGCGTCCACACTCCCAGGTCAGGGTTAGAGACACAGTAAAGCTGCCTCTACACTGTGCGTCCACACTCCCAGGTCAGGGTTAGAGACAGTAAAGCTCCTCTACACTGTGCGTCCACACTCCCAGGTCAGGGTTAGAGACACAGTAACGCTCCCTCTACACTGTGTGTCCACACTCCCAGGTCAGGGTTAGAGACACAGTAAAGCTCCTCTACACTGTGCGTCCACACTCCCAGGTCAGGGTTAGAGACACGGTAAAGCTCCCTCTACACTGTGTGTCCGTCCACACTCCCAGGTCAGGGTTAGAGACAGTAAAGCTCCTCTACACTGTGCGTCCACACTCCCAGGTCAGGGTTAGAGACACAGTAAAGCTCCTCTACACTGTGTGTCCACACTCCCAGGTCAGGGTTAGAGACACAGTAAAGCTCCCTCTACACTGTGTGTCACACTCCCAGGTCAGGGTTAGAGACACAGTAAAGCTCCCTCTACACTGTGCGTCCACACTCCCAGGTCAGGGTTAGAGACACAGTAAAGCTCCTCTACACTGTGTGTCCACACTCCCAGGTCAGGGTTAGAGACACAGTAAAGCTCCCTCTACACTGTGCGTCCACACTCCCAGGTGAGGTACATTATGGGTTGGAGATACAGTAAAGTTCTCTCCACATTGGGTATCCTGAAATAATGAATCCCTCTTGCTGAATGTGAGTTTCATTTGCTGCCCTCCTGCTTGCCCTGAGCTGCTCTCCAGAGCCTGAGGAGTCTTGTCACGAGTGTGTTTTGTGAGTCTTGGGACCTTGGCTGGAGATACGTCTGTTACATATTAACAAACAGCTCATTGACTCATTGACAACCACATGAAGTTGATTCAAATTCCTCCTTTATTCAATTATTCTTAAAATCAATTATTCTTCAAATGTGCAGATGTATTTTCAGGAAGAGGGGACTGTAATAACGGAGTGCACTGTCAGCCCAACTCCGTCGCTCGCACTCTCCTCTGCGAGTCAAAAGGTTGTAGGTTCAAACTCTACATCGAGGACTTTGAGGTCACAATCTCGGCTGATGCTCCGATGCTGGGGGAGTGCCACATTGTCAGAGGTGCCATCCTATGGATGAGGCATTAAATATGTCTGTCCCTGTTCAAACTCAAGATCTTCTATGTTGCTGTGGAAAAGAGAAGGGAGTTTTTCTCTCTCTCTCTCCCCCGGTGTCCTGGCCAACAATCCCCCAGATAAAGTTACTCGCTCGCTCGTGGCTTTGTGGGACATTGCTGTTTGCAAATTGGCTCCTGCGTTTACTCACAAAATATACCTTAAATCCTGTGAAGCTCTTTCAGATGTCCTCTTGAAGTAAGGATTGTACTATTAATAATAATAATACAAATAATAATCCTTTCCTTTGGTACAAAGCCTTCCATTTCCGGAGGTTGTTCCAAAGTGCTTCACAGAATTTACTGTAAAATTACATTCTCCTGACACGAAAGGCCCTGGATCAAATGTTAGGGTTTATTAAATAATGGGGTGTAGGAGAGAGGAATAGAGGGGTGTAATAATAATAATAATCCTTGCATTTGATATAGCGCTTCTCACGTCGGGAGACGTCTCAAAGCGCTTCACAGGACACACTGTAAAGTGAATTGACTGTATATTTGTGGGCGAACGCGGCAGCCAATTGCGCACAGCAATGTCCCACAAACAGTCTGTAGATTGAAAATGACCAATTTATTATTGTTTGGGTTTTGGAGGGAATATTATTAGGGCTCTGTGTGGAGTAAGGAAACTTGCCCGAGGTTTCGCCCCTGACCCCCCGGGATTGAACTCCGGTCTCTCACTTGCAAAGCGAGTGCTCTCACCACTGAGCTACAGGGGAATAGAGGGGTTGAAGCTTGTGTGGAGTATTAACACGGCACAGATTAGCCTGTTTCATTCCGTGTAACTGCGTAGAACAAGGAAACACCCAAGAGTTGGCCTTGGACGCACTGTCTGAATTTATCTGCCTGTTGCTCTGTCCTCTTACTCTTATCAGGAGTCAGCAGCTGTTTTCTCACTGACTGCCTGATAGCCAGCCGGCTGGTCAGTGCCCCAGGATACACAGAGCTGGAGGTGAATGAGAACCTGCAGCCACAGAATTCCCTCTCCTCAGCTCCCCCGGGAGGAGGCTCATTTCTCTTTCTATCGCGACAGATCAATGACCTCAAACATTCCAGCCTGGAACTCACTCCTCCCCCACCCCACCCGCCATGGGTGGTCATAAAGGGTGACCAAACAACTGAAAGAATTATACAGCCCATCGTGTCTGTGCCGCTCGCTCTTCAATAGAGCTTCCAATTCAACCCACTCCCCCGCTTTCTCCCCATAGCCCTGATCAACCCCACTCCCCCCGC